TTCTGTTGGGGAGACCTACCTTGGCACAAAAGTCCAGCTGCTTAATTCACAGGGAGGGAAAAGAAAGAGAGCGAACTCCACTCAGAGATGGAGAAAGATGGGGCAGGAGGGGAAGGAGAAAGCTTAGACTGAAAGGTAAAGGCTGCTCATTTAAAGCTCAAATGTAAATCCTCATGTTTTTAATCACATATTGGGCCTGAACATGTCACATTATGTGTCTTCATATTGTCAAACATGCTGCTAAACAAACTGAGGCAGACTGACTGTGTCATTTAATGGCTGCATGAAAATCCTCTGCTGGTTAGTGCGGAATAAACAGGTTAGTTTGATGCACAGTGATGGGTTTAAAGAACAGTTCAGTTAGCTTTAAATGACATGAGAAACATCCCCCATGAGCTGCTTTTACTTTGAGTTCAGAGGCTCTACTTATATTGTGCCCACCACACAAGTCAGAAAGTTCCCCAACCAGAAGCTCTGGATCAACAGTCAGGTACGACACATGCTGCGTACTCGGTCTCTGGCATTTAGATCAGGCAATGAGATGGAGTACAACGCTGTGAAGTATGGACTGAGGAGCGCCATCACAGCGGCTAAGAGGCAGTACAGAGAGAAGCTGGATGGCTTCTTCTGCTGACTCCAGGCGGATGTTGCACATCAGAGTATTGGGCCACCATCAGCTCTACAGGCGGTCGTCTGGATGATCTCAATGCATTCTACACCCACTTCGAGACCTCCCATACCCTCCAGATCACCCGGACCTGCCACACCCCCCAGATCACCCACCCCAGCCAGCAATCGCACCAGACTAGGTGCACAAAGCCCTGAGGAGGATCAAGCCCTGCAAGGCAGCAGGACCAGACAACATCCTGGGACGGGCTTCTTACCTCCATCTTCAACCTCTCCCTCAGCCAGAACACTGTCCCCACATGCTTCAAGACCACAACCATCATCCCTCTCCCCAAGAAAAGCCCCACCTGCCTGAACGACTATAGACCAGTTGCACTCCAATCATTGCGAAGTGCTTTGAGAGAGTGGTGCTGGCCTACATCCAGAGCAACATCACAGACACTCTGGACCCCCTGCAGTATGCCTACCGGTCCAATAGGTCCACGTCAGTCACCATCACTGCTGCCCTTCGCTATTCCCTCTCCCACCTGGGAAACAAAGACTCATACATCAGGGTACTTTTTGTTGATTACAGCTCCGCTTTCAATACTGTCATCCCACACAAACTCACTCACAAGCTGGCAACACTCGGCCTGCACCCCAACCTGAAATTTGGGCCAAGATGTCGGCCAAGATCCTCAGCAGTTTCTACAGCTGCATTATGGAGAGCACCCTGACCAGCTGCATCACTGCATGGTACGGCAGCACTAACGCCTGCAGAGAGTAACTGCGGAGAAGATCATCAGGACTCCGCTGCCCTCTCTGCAGAGGAGAGCTGCCTCCATCCTCAAAGACCCCACACACCCCCAACACGGACTGTCCACACTTCTGTCCTCGGGGCGGAGGTTCAGACGTGTGAAATCCAGAACATCCCGACTCAACAACTCCTTCTGTACTTTTGCCACCTCTGCTCATTTGTCTCCTTTCCAGTAAAATACCCAGAATTTAGGCACCACTTAAAATTACTTAC